AATAAGTGTAAATTTTAATTCTTTATAATAAATTATCATTAGATTTGAATTAATTTGTTGTCGGAGGCTTAACCTTAAAAGTTTAAATGACTAAATATTTAAGGTGAAATATTCTTATATTATTTGGTACCATGATTAAGCTTATTTATCATAATTAGTCACTACAAAAGTAATTCAAATCCCTCCATGGAGTAAAAATTTAAATTGGTGATTAATAATGATATGCAAATATTTATATATATTCTTAATTAAAAAAAAATTTTGATAAATATTCTCACTCCTTTCTTTTGTGTTTCTTATTTATTTTTTCTTAATATATGTATGTATCTTTTAAAATCTTAAAGAAATGGATCTACCAGTTATACCTGGATCTTCCACTGCGTTTACTTCGACTATATTTCCTGGTACGAGTTAGATGATAGATGTGTTGGGATGGAATTGGGAAATCTCGAAGTAATCAAAGGATTCTCGAAAGATACTTCGACAAAATCGAAGAAGGCCAGTTACAAGCAATTATGGGTGGTTCAAGGAGTTACTCACAAATGCTTGAACAACGAGACAGTTGTAAAGCTTGAGGAGTGGACGAATACTAACTATTCCTTGAAATTAAAAGTGAGAATCTCGAGAAGATTATCCAAGGATCAAAAGGGTATAGCAGGTAGTTGCGAGAGGTTAGGAATGATTGAGGAAAGGTTACCCACATCGCATAACAGGGAACAATTACACATACCATGTCAGATCAATACACATGTAACTGCTCCTCCCCATCCTCTATAAATAAGTAGGCAGGCTCATTTCAAGGGTCAAAAACTTCATACTTACGAAATCTCACAACACTCATTGTTTGGGCATATGACTCTTGTGTACGAGACTGTTGAGTATGGCTTCTTGACCACTTTTCTTTTGTCCTTTTAGAATAGGTCTAGTTTAGTTAGTGTATTGTAGTTTTGTTACTTCTTTGGGTTTTCGTGTATTGGAAATTAACAATCAATGGGAGCAAACTAATGATGTCTATTGTTAACATATACATTGTTTATTCGAATCATTTGAATATTTATATGCGTAAAACTTATTTTGTGATAACCGTCCATGAACACTTGGAGATCTTTGTATGTTAAATCACACAAAGTAGGACCTCGACTAGCCAGTTTGTTTGTTTCACTATAGTCACTTGTATTTTTAGTGTATGAGACTCCTCCATAAAAAATTGTTTACATGCTCAGGATTTACCTTGTTGTGCATACCTAAATTGAAGCTTTGCTGGGTTGAAGAAAAAGAATCCATGAACGTGTTTTCCCGCAAACAAGATGCTATTGGAAATTCAGTGACATTCCAAGGCATCGAATTATCTTTCTTTATATTTGTACTAAATCAACAAGTTCCAATATATATTGATGGTCTATGGTGGTCACATACTACCTATCCCTACTAACCATGTCAATCCTATCGTAACTCTATATCAACTTCGAATGTAAATCTATTAGTATAAGTAAAAAGAAAATTTTTTATTAAAATAAAACTTTTTTCCTTCATTTAGATGTCATATTAGTTATATATAATTTTAATGTACCAAAAAAATTACTTTTTTGTACGAATATATCTAATTATAGTGTGATTTCTTTTCCTGGTATTGTTTCAAAATTTAAATTATAAGTGATAAGAATTTTATAATAAAGTCTTTCATTTGAATTTATGGAATTGATGTATTTGAAACTATTGCTTACTATTATTATTTTTTATTATTTATAATATTTCAATAAAATAGACGTTAAATATATACAAGTCAAAAAAATTGATATTAGTTGATTATTTTAGTATTTCAATAAAATTATCATCAAATACAAATTTTAATTTCTTAAAAAAGCACAACTACATATGATATTCATAATTACCAGCAAGCACTTATAAAAATTCATAGTGGTTATGAGACATTTTTATTCAATGAAATAGGGATAGATAATATAATACGTACCTGCCTCTATAAAATCTCATTGTCGTCCTTAAATGTGTGATTGTAGATATGACTCTTGTATATTATATTCACAATTCAAGATCGTGTGGATAAAGGTAGAAATGTCACAAATATTGATAAGGAATAAAAAAAAATAGTAAAAGAGACAACAATTGAATCGAATATATATACATGTAGATGATTAATAACTTATACTCTTGTGTGCTCCAACTAGGGTTTACATAGGTGACATGGGTTCTATACTTCTATACCAAAACATGTATGAAACATACTTTTTAGATACATATTCAATATCAATTCTTCACATTCAATTAGACTGAACTCAAGGCTGACGATCATGATTTTATTAAATTTTTTTAAAATAAATTAATAGTTAACACTGTTTTTTTTTATATAAAGTCATACTTTATTCTAATATAAACTTTTCAGTAGAAAAAAAAAAATACACCCATCCAATTGTGTTTCAATTTCAAACACACCGTAGAGACATAAATTAAAGATGAAACTGAAAAAGAAATATGAACAAGATATGTACACAAAGGCACAAGCATCTTTCAATATCTGGTATGGAATGGTCTGGGTGTAGTTTATTGCGTTTGGACATTGCACTATTATCATGGGACCTGATCCAACTAATCAATTAAATAGCTAGAGAGATGTACAACACGGGTGCCAACCTAGGATTAGAAAAGTACAATGGAGGATGGTGTAGGTTAGTAGGTGACGGTGGGTGTGTAGAGAACGGTGGGTGACAAAGGTAGTATATATCAATATCATACGAGGATGAGATCCGTTCAACAACTAGTTACTATCATAAGTTAATACTTAATAAGGATAGAAAAGTAATTTAATAATTTTAGGTAAAGTCAATATTTATTTTATTTTATCTCATTCTTCCAAATTGAGAAGAAAGAAAAATGAACATTAATTTAATATTGATATTATTGTTTATATAAAAATTGTATTAACGATCATTTTCCCAATTTAAAATTATTAGAAAAAATGCTAAAAATAGTTAATGCATACTAGGAAGTATAAATCTATATTAAAAGATTAATTATTTTTAAATATAATTAATGTTTATAGAATAATATTAACAATATTTGTGTAACTATTGTGACTTTTCAATTAAGTTTTTTTTAAAAAAAAAATAAATTATGTGTGAGATAAATTATGGTTGTAAGATCATGGTGATTAATCGAATGAATTGTTACATAGAAAAAAATAAAAATGTTAAAATACTTTATGTTGAAATTTTAAATAAACATTTTATAATTTAAAATTTTAAAATAAAATTAAAATTTACTGATTATATATATATATAAAATAAAAAATAAAAAATAAAAGATAGCATGCCTTTTCGTAATGATTGAGACTCTATTATGTAATATGTGCATTGCTTTATGTATCTTGACCAATCTATGATTTGTGATTTAATTTTAGTTAGGATAAGAAAGTACTTGAAGTTTCTTAATATAACCGTTGTCATCGGCATTGAAAATGGGACAATTAAGCATAATAATGGGACAATTAAGCATAATAGAAGTAAAGAAGCACGACAACATTAAAGAAGGGACATGCTTGCGAAGAATTTGTGGCTTGTGAGAGACAAAGAACAAAAATGTACAAAATGAAAGTGAGGTTCACGTTATATATATATATATATATATATATATATATATATATAATTAATATATTAACTTTGACATTTTTTACAAAATAAAAATATAGAAAAGAGTGAAGGTACCTAATTTTAAACTTGAAAGTATGAATATTTTATTATAATATGTACATAAAAAAATTAAATATGAAAAAGTTAGTCAAAGCCTTTTTCCCCCATTATGTTGAACTTAAATTCGTCCCTGGTTGTCAAGGACACACATGATGACAACAACGACACCAATCATATCACTATCAAACTCCTATTGTCCTTCAATCAAATTGGATATGTCATTTATAAAGGTGACAAGATTGTGCATTTGTTGATTCTAAAGCCCTAATGTATTTCTATAGCTTCATCCTTGACCTAGTCATTCCTACAACACTACCTCCATCGTCGACAATGAGACGATGCTCATCAACAACGGGAAGTTCTCCTATACCTCCAACCAGTGGGGATCAGGATTGTCCAACGACTTTAACCGATTCGATCAATCGTGGCATTTCGATTCTGTACAGGTAGGGGGGTTCGGCCACCACCCCATCGGCCGCCGAATGGCAGAACCAGGAAGTCGAATGCCAATCGGCCACCAGGATCGGCCTATCATCATTTGGTACTCTTAATCAAAGATTAGAGGTTAATTAGTCGATTAAGGTGTATTACCTAATACGGTAAATATGTCGCAGGGCCCATGGGGTCCAGGGCCCATAAATGTCAGTATAAATAGCTCAGGACAAAAGGTAACGTCACTGTTCATTAATTATCCTAGATATTCGTGCTTGTCCTGACTTGAGCGTTGGAGTGCCTTTTGCAGGTACCAACCCCTTCAACAGCGTATCAGATCGGAGCCTTCGTTTGGCCTTTGGACTACGAGAAGACTTAGTGTGCCCTTCAGACAGGTACATTTGGCGCCCACCGTGGGACCGAACGACGATAGCTGGAAGATTAACTGAATTGAGATATGGCGATAACTAGGAGAACTAACACACCGACCACCAACATGAAGAGGAAGAACACGTTGAGGTTGTTGATGAAATGGATCTTTCTGAAGCCGTTCGGTTGTTGAAGCAGGAAATGGAGGCCATGAAACAACAACGAGAAAAAGATGCAAGGGAGCCCTCGGCTTTGAGAGCTGAAAACGAGGCATTAAAAAATCAAGATACCTCATGGAGACCTACTCAGGCCACCAACACACAAACTTAGGAGTCGTATCAATCCCAAGCAATTCATACCTCGGCCCCCCATGCCTCGGCGGTAGCACCTGGAAAACTCCCTTCGGCCTTACCCACCGTTGGTCGTCCTGCAGATTTGACAACTATCGGATCACATCGACACCCTTTCACCCCCTCCATTATGCAACTTCCCCTAATGGATAATTGGAAATCTTTACCTATAGATAAATATGATGGTACAACAGATCCTGATGAACACTTGGATGTTTTTCTGACGCAGGTAACTCTAAGCACCACGGATGATGTTGCGCTGTGTCGGATATTTCCAACATCCCTTAAAGGCCGAGCCCTGAGCTGGTTCACTCGGCACAATTCACCATCCAGTTTGCAACAAGTCGTCCTCACAGTTTGACATCTCTATCTTTGGTTGGTCTTCGACAGGACAAGAAGGAGTCGCTTCGGACCTTCATGGATCGGTTTAATAAGGCGGCATTGGAGATCCGAGACCTCAATCCAGCCGTAGCACTCCATCATCTCACAACGGCCTTAAAACCAGGACCGTTTGTCAATAGCCTCTACAAGAAGCCTCCTTCGGACATGAATGACCTACGGAGGAGGGCCGACAAATATATACAAATGGAAGAATTAGCTGAGTACCGCAATCAGGCCCGAGCTGAACCATTGGGCAAACCTGAAAAGCAAGCAGAACAACCATACAGGGGGCGAGGCAAAGAGCTAACTCTTCGGGATCGCCCGGCGTGAGGTCCGAAGTACTTTCATTATACTCCCTTAAATGCGAGTCGAGCTGCGGTTCTTGAGCAAGCATTGGCATCAGAAGTGTTGGCGGTTCCAAAAAGAGCAGCAACCCCTCCCAGGGCCGATACCAACAAGTCTTGTAGGTATCATCGCAATCGGGGACATTCTACTGAAGAGTGTGCCGCCTTGAAGGATAGAATTGAAGACCTCATCAAGCAAGGGCAACTCCAAAATTTTATCGATCGGCCAAATACATCTCGGCATCGCTCATCCTACCAATATCAGCAGCGAGACTGACTTGAGCGCTCAGATAGACAGTGGCGTGAGCGCAGCCGATCGCGAGATCGAAAAGGTGAGCAGCAAGCATCGCAAAGGCGTGTGATCAATACCATCGCAGGGGGCTTTGCCGGATCAACTTCGTCGGCTCAGAAGAGACATCTACGAGTGGTTCGGTCGGTCAGTCATGTCGAACAACGTCCAAATCAGCGAATGCCTGCTATCACATTCACTGACAAGGACTTTCAAGGAATTGATCCAGTGCAGGATGACCCTATGGTCGTCAGTGTTGAGATCCATAATTGTATTGTGAAGAAAACTCTCATAGATTAAGGCAGTTCGACCGATATTTTATACTGGAATACCTTCAAACAACTCAGCATCCCTGAGGAAGAGCTAACTTCTTACAATGAACTGCTTGTAGGATTTTCAGGTGAGAGGGTCAACACCAGAGGGTTCATCAAACTCTCCACTCGTTTTTGTTTCATTACGGAAGGCGTCGAACCTACATGTCCTTCGGCCGCCAAAAAGCTTCGCACTCAAGCCGCAAGGTACTCGGTTGTGGGGGGGAACTTTATCGAAGAGGCTTTTCATCTCCCCTACTCAAATGCCTTCACCCCGAACAGGCCACTTATGTACTTAGGGAAGTTCATGAAGGAATTTGTGGTTCTCACACCGGAGGGTGAACTTTAGCTGCTAAAGTGCTTTGGGCTGGCTATTACTGGCCCACACTCAAGACCAATTGCATGGAATTCGTCAAAAAATGTGTCCAGTGCCAAAAACATGGCAATTTGATACATGCCTCAGCCGAACAATTACACAGCATCAATTTACTTTGGCCGTTTGCCCTGTGGGGAATGGATATACTCGGACCATTCCCAATGGCTAAAGGGCAATGCAAGTTTCTGTTAGTCGCGGTGGATTATTTCACCAAATGGATTGAGGCCGAACCTCTCGCCACTATCACTGCACATAATGTCCAGAAATTCCTTTGGAAAAATATCATCACACGCTTCGGGATTCCTCATGCCATCGTCACTGACAACGGACTTCAATTCACAGATCAGAAGCTCAACAAATTTCTTCAAGACTTAGAGTCAAACACCGATTCACGTCAATCAAACACCCCCAATCAAACGGCCAGGCTGAGGCCGCTAACAAGGTCATCCTCTCGGAATTGAAGAAACGCTTGGGGGCAGCAAAGGGCGCATGGGCCGAGGAGCTCTCAGAAGTGCTATGGGCGTATCGGTGTACACCTCAATCCACAACTCAAGAGACCCCTTTCCGACTGACATATGGCACCGACGCAATGATACCAGTTGAAGTCGGAGAACCTTCCTTTCTTCGAACACATTTCGACGAGGATTCCAATGAGGCATCTTTACGAGTGGAAATTGACCTAGTAGATGAAGTACGCGCTCGAGCTCAAATCGTAGCCGAAGCATGCAAGTAAAGGATGACAAGGAGGTTCAACTCTAACCTCAGTAAAAGAAGCTTCAAGACAGGGGATTTAGTATGGAGGGTCCAAGGTTCGGCAAGACGAAATCTGAGAGAAGGAAAGTTGGCAGCTAATTGGGATGGCCCATTTCGAGTCTGACACAGCCTCAACAATGGTGCTTATAAATTGGAAGAACTCTCGGGCAAAGTCATTCCAAGAACTTGGAACTCTTCTCACTTGAAGACATATTATAGTTAGTTACTTTTGGAAAGGTATTATTATGTAAACACAGGGTGCACTCTTTTCCTTGTCGGTCTTTTCCCCCCTTAAAAAAAAGGGAAAAGGGGTTTTGGCCGACAAGGTTTTTAACGAGGCACCCATAAATGAAATATCAGTTCTATTCTTCATTTTGTTTACTCATCTTTTGCGAACTTCGGCACAATACACAAAAGGCTTCCCTCCCGAGTTGATCAACTTGGCCAAGGATGTGCCTCGGAAATTCACGCAAAAGGCTTCCCTCCCGAGTTGATCAACTCGGCCAAGGATGTGCCTCGGAAATTCACGCAAAAGGCTTCCCTCCCGAGTTGATCAATTCGGCCAAGGATGTGCCTTCAATCGAAAACAATGAAATTCTGAGTGAGTCCTCATTCGGTCTTGCTTGGAAAGCAACGCAAATCCGAATGAATTCCACTCGGTCTTGCTCATAAAACAACGCAATTCCGAGTGAGTCCTCATTCGGTCTTGCTTGATAAGCAACGCAATTTCGAGTGAGTTCCACTCGGTCTTGCTCAGAAAATAACGCAATGCCGAATGAGTTCCACTCGGTATTGCTCAGAAAACACACAATTTCCGGGTGAGTCCTCATCCGGTTTTGCTTAGAAACCGAAGACATTTCCGAATGACATCCACTCGGTTTTGCTAAGACATCAAGACATTTCCGAATGACCTCCACTCGGTTTTGCTAAGACATCAAGACATTTCCGAATGACCTCCACTCAGTTTTGCTAAGAAATCAAGGCATTTCCGAATGACGCCCACTCGGTTTTGCTATGAACGCCAAGCATTTCCAAGTAACCCCCACTTGGTTTTGGACAATTCTTTCGGAACAGTTTATATAAAACATTCTTGGAATAAATTCGTTAAGTTTTAAAGTTAAGAGAGACGATCCGAATTAGCATTTGTTCAAAAATACACCACATGATTCAACAGAAAATGCCATTTCATTCAAAAAGTGGAGGCTCTATCGGCCCCCTTGCTACAAAAATTCAAAAATTGGAGACTCTATCGGCTCCCCTTGTTACAAAAAACCTTGTAAAATACCAACACTACCCCTCCGAATTTCTGACCGTGTCATCCTGAGCATGAGTCTCAGTTTCCCCTTCTGGTTCAGGATTGGCATGTTCATCGTCCTCTTCACCAGACGAAGCGTCAGCATCTCTTTCCGGCTGGGGGGCAGCTCCTGGCTCCGAGTCATCAGGATTCGCCCCCTCGGGCATCTCAGCAAAGGACATAAATGACCCTTGATAAAAATCCTGGGTCATGTCGAATTCAAAGTCCTCATGGAATTGGCCGAAGTGCTTTGCCTGCCGAACAGCATGTTTGAATCCAGCCTCGTGCTGAGCAATGATCTTCTCCTTAGCCTGCTCTTTCAGGCGATTGTATTCGGCTTGGGCGATCTCTGTTCGGCGGCGCTCTTCATTGATTGCCTTTTGTAGATCCAGGCGAAGAGTGTCATTCTCCCGCCTAACAGAATCTAGCTCGGCAGCCAACTCGCGATTTCTGGCTGCTGCTTGTTCGGTGACCGAAATAGCTTCGGCTGTGGCCTTTTCGGCCTCTTCAAGACTTTGTTTCAAATGCATCACCTCGCCGACAGGCTCCATAGCTAGGTGATGAGCCAAGGCCAACGAACGCGCTTGCATCTCGCAGAAAAGTCTCCACTTGGTTCTCGTCTCCAGCCGGCCAAGAACTCCTGCCCGAACGGCGACACAGCATCGGAACGAATCAGGGTATCGACCGATACATCATCACTCAAAAAAGCCCGAGACATTAGTTGGGGCGGCACCACAATCACGGTCCGATTGGGTGATGCCTCGAGCACCGATTTAGCCTTCTTTGGATTCCCTAATTGTTCTTCAGAACCCTTCCTCTTTGTTCGCTCCCGATCAACCTTTTTCCCCTTCCTCCCAGTTAAGCTAGCTAATGTCGTGGTAGGCCTAAACCCAACTGTTCTATCCTGACAGAATATATACTTCCTTGTTTAAGTGGCAAAGTCTGAGAAATCGTTATCGTGTTATGGATTTCTATCCAAATTTGTTGAATATTAAGACTCCAGTTTAGTCTCAACCCCATGGTACACATTCCTCTAGGCTCAAGTGCGTAATAAGGATAAAGAGTCTTGTAGTAATGGGTTAGAATTCTTGGATGTCATACTTTCATAGCACTTTGTTAAACATCTCTTAAATGTTGAGATTCTATTTTAAGGGTCAGTTTTGTCCCAATTATATGATGTAGTTTGAATCGAATAATATCACCATAGATGATCAAAATATATTTTTTAATATTTAATACAATTATATATCTAAAATTTTATTTATAACAATATCATACAAGTTATGTCATATGTTTGACACATAAGACTTTACTTGAGAAAGATATGAAACATTTTTATTTTTCTTTTTATTTCAATATTCTACATGCATTTTTTTGTTAGTGATTCAAACAAATCTTAGTTATGCAACACTTTTATTATATTCCTGTCAATTATTGGATAAAATTTACGTGAGAGATTTAATTATGAGAATGAAAAATTACTTAAATTAAATACAAAAAATCAAATTTAAATGTCAAGATCATATATAAATTAAAGTATATTTAAATTTAAATATTACCCAACAAAAAATTATCCTATAGTTACACAAACTTTATGGTAACACATTAGTTGTCACTAAAAACTACTCTTACCTACACTATAAATACAATATATGTTGTCTTCTTATTTAAAAAAATGTAGATACAATCTATAGTGATACACAATATATGTTGTTAAATCTCATTCAAAATCAATATTAAAATTGTGTGCAGGTATATGTCAAATAGATTTATGCTTATATATATTGTATCTATAGTGACACTTTTTTGTAAGTTATTGTATGTAACATTTTTGGTAGTGTTATTTTAATAAGGTATTAAATTGATAATACATAAGGTCAATTTAAGCTCGTGAATATCACTTGTTGTCTTGTTGGTACGTATATGGAAGTGAACATTTATCGATATAAATATTAGTGACTTG